CCTGCTGACTCCTACTCAGGGAACACAAAGGCACAACGGCTCACGGGGGAGAAGGGAACAAAAAGGGAGCAACAAGATGAAAGAGGGCAGCAAAGCACATCCTTTTTCAATGATAATCCCCTTCCACCACTGCAAGCTTTGCTGGCTCCTCTAGAAGGCTGTCCCTCTGACAGCTCATGTGCACCGAGTCCCAAAAAAGAGGCCGCCCAGGCAGAATCATCCAAGGTATGTCAGGTCTGGTGCTAACAGGCTTGTCAGCATTGCCGAACGGTCTTCCTGCAGCGCTTTCTCCCCGTAAATGAAACAATAACAGTAACTGAAAATGGAGTCCAAGGTTCAGGGTGATGGAAACCCGCGCATGTGACCTTGGAGGCAATTTTCCTCTCCGCTCCCCCAAATCAGAGGTTTGAGAGAGAGAGATCTACCAGACCTTTCAGTCCATCTCGCTCGTTCCAGCTTAGTTCCCCACAATATCTTCTCCAGTGTTTTCTACCCCCCAAGTCAAAGCTCAAAAGCCCCTACAAGCAATGATGCTTTTGGGACATCACCCCACAGTCCAAGAGATTTCCTTATTAGGAAGCTTTGCCTAATATTCCTCTTGCTGATTATTCCATTAAATCACCCAGAACAACTCCTCTCCCTCTGTGTTTGCACAATGCAAGCACTCGCTGTTACCTTTCCCCTACTCTCAGGTTTGGCAGCTCACCACACCCCTTCTCTCCCTTTTCGCCCCATACCTGAAGCCAGGATAAAACTTACGGTGCTCGGTCATGGTTCAGCCCATTCTGTCTTTGTGCATTTATTGGAGGTAGGACGGGTTTGCTGTTAATCTCAAGCCCTCTCCGCAAAGTCTCCCTGATTTGCTCGGTGTCTGCAAAAAGAGAGTTTTAACATGATTTAGTGTAGACAGGAACACCAGACACCTGCTACCGAGAAGAACCTGTGGCATCGGTATTGGCTAAAGGTGGCTTTTATGAAGCTACCATTTCACCTATAAGTGGGTGCAGATGAGTGTTTTTCAGGATTCAGGGGTCATTTTACCCTCAAAAAATTTTTGGAGCACCCTGCCCCCTTTCTGCCTGTTATATCCAAACTTCCAGGTAAGGAGGGATGGAGCCCTTGGTCCTGAGTCACCTGGAGAAGGTGAGGCTGAGCAGTCCAGTATTGCATCTGTCCCTTTCAAAAGGAAAGAGGGTGCTTGCTGCTTCAGCATCTTTCCAAGTCCCTTGATGTCAAGATGCATCTAGCCTTCATTGCCGAGAGCTTCCCTTGCCAGCTGGCGCAATGGAAGTGTATGTCTTTATCAGATCAATGTGGGAAGACTCCCTCAACTTCTGCCTTTGGCTTTGTAAGCCTGCCAATTAATTCCAAATACTCATGGGAACAGGATCCAAATAGGGAAGGAACCAAAGTGAATTGCTACAGAGGGCAAGACCTAATCCTCCAGCTCAGGTTTTGGGTTTAGCTTCACACATGCATCCACATGAAGCCCTTTCACTTTTCCATTTTTTCCAGTATTTCTAACTAAGCTTTCCTTAAAAACTTCCCCTATTTGTTTTTTCAAACAGCAGAAATCAAAATGAAATCCTCTCCAGACAGCCTTTCAGAATCAACTGAAGGAGCGTATCCTAAATACAGGAGTCAGAGAGTTTTCCCACATTGAAATTTTGGGGCAGTGGGCCAGAGGGCAACTGGGGTGACTTTCTATTTCTGTCTGGTCATCTAAGGGGGATACTCTATTTCCATCTGGTCATCTAAGGGCCCCTTAGGTCTACTGACCTAGAACAGTGGGGCTCAATCTTTTGGCCCCGTGGGCTAAATGAGTGGCACGGGGCCCATCTGTGGACCAGACTGGGCCCTGGCACTGCCTCCTCCCTGCTCTGCATGTTGGGACTGGACCCTGGGGGCCTGGCACTGGGTCCCCCTTTCATCCCCCACATCTGCCCCTGCCCAGTCCTGGTGCTGGATTCATTGTTCAGGCCTGGGGCTCCTCATGGGTCTGGAGATTTGGCAGCAGGAGAGCTGGGCCACTTGCTCCCCGACTACCCACTGCCAAATTTCCAGACCCACGAGGAGTCTTGTGGTCTGGATGAGATGGCACTGCAGGCCAGACCTGCGGGCCGGAGGTTGAAAACCCCTGGCCTAAAACCCAAATGTAGAGAATCCTTGGGGTTTTGTTTCTTGTGACTTGCTGCAGTTTAAAACATCAGCATACTCACTCCCACTACTGGAAGGGAGATTTCCAGGGGGGAAGAAAGCAGTGATCACTTCTATAGAAACCTTCATCACTTCCTTTTAATCACAACATCCATAAATGAGACTTCCTTCAAATTATACTTTAACCTACTTGGACGTGAAAGGCACCGCATTTAAATTATACACGTTCATGGTGCAACATCCCCATCTCATGCCAACAGTGAAACCCGAGACGGGATCTTGCTAGGAGGAGGAACTCGCTTGTTCTCCATCTCTTCTGCAGAACCCAACGTCAGCCCAAGCTGCCACCCAACATTTGGAACAGTACATGATAATCAGACCTGGGGCTGGGGGTGGAGATGCAGGTGTCCTGCCCTGCGGGTGCCTGGGGAGCCTTTCTGGTTTCAGTTCACGCAGGTATGGGCTTTGCGATGGAAATACGTGAAACTGGGAGCCTCTCTGCCCCAGGCTCATCTAGGACCCTCTCTGCATCTGACTATCTGAGAGGAATCCTAAGATTCCTTGGGCATGGTTCTCATCCAAATTTAGATGCAAGGCCAGGCCAACCACATTCTTCAGGGGCGTGGGGAAGCTGACAGTGACTCAGTCAAGTCCCTCCTACCTTTCCCGGACAGCCGTCGTGGCTGCGTTCCAATGCAAATGCTCCGACTGTCTTCATCGTCCTCCGGAGGCCGGCTAAGGTCATCCCAGGCACACTTGGCACTCACTCCACTCAGGTTCGAACCATCTGTCTCAATCCCTTTATCGACTCTCTCCTGCTTGAAAAGATCCAAAGAGCCAAGACTTTTTTGGGTGTAGCTTGAATGCAAGGTGCTGGAGGAAGCAAAGTCTTGCAATCCACCTAACAGAACAGCTCCATTGGCCATATAAACTCCTGGGTAACTAATGTCGTGATTCCCTTCCAGGCTTCTCAAGACTTGAGGCATGAGACGCAGTACAGATACTATCTGCAAACTGACTAGACTGCTCCTATTCTTCTTTCAACTCTAAACTAACTAATCACTAAACTAACCAATGAAGACTAACTTCATTGATTAGGATCGTATGAAAATAGGGCTGGAAGGGACCTCACAAGGTCATCCGCTCAAGGCAGAATCATCCCAGCCAAGCATCTGTCCAAAGTGCTCTTGAAACCTTCCAAGAATGGAGATTTCAGCACTTCTCCAGATGCTTGGCCACTCTCATAGTCAGAAAGTTCCTCCTAATTTCCAACCTCAGTTTCCTCTGCTGCAGCTTGAGGCCATCGTTCCTAGTTCTGTCCCCTACAGCCAGAGAAAAACCCATGTCCACTCTCTACATAATCGCCCTTCTGGGATTTGAAAACTGTTATCAAATCCCTCTTCAGTCATCTCTTCACCTGACTAAATAAAGCTAGCTCTTTCAGCCTTTTCTCATAAATCAGTGCAGCGATAAGAAGTAAATTTGGGTGTGATGCTATCAGTAGTTTTGCAAGACATTCCCATTAACTGCAAATAAATGAGCTCTATCCCGTGGAGTCCGAATTTCCCAGCACACCGCTCACCGCTACGTGTGCGATTACTGAGGGGGTGTGCCTATACTTGACTTTGAGCCGTGTCTGTTAATAGATGTTAATATGCCACCGAAAATTTCTTAACAGCACATTTTTCCCAGGACAGGCTTGTTCATTGCTAGCCATGTTCAGCCCCTGGCTGCAGTGAACCTGAAAAGCAGGCCTGCAGTGTGAAGAAAACAACTTGCTTTGGTTGGAAATTTGAGCTTTTACCACTAGGCGATGCTGTTGCACTGAACAACTGAGATCCAGGGATGGAGAGCTGCTACCGAGTGCAAGTGTGAATCTTTCTTCCTTTTATTTATTCCTTTAATTTTGCAATTAAAGAATTTTGTTTTATTTTTTTTGCAAAAATCTAGTTGGTCTAATAAAAGATATCACCTCTACTGCGAGTTCTGAATCTTTCTTCCTGGTCTCTAGCTCAAAGAGGGGCAGAGAAGTCAGTTTTGGCTACCGTTTCAGCGGACTTCTTGCTCCAGCAGGCTGGTTCAAGAAAGCTCGGGCATTGCATGCTCTGCTCTGAAGCGTGCTGCAGTCAGACTTCAGTGGAAACACCGGGGCGTTTGTGCGTACGCACATGTTCTGCATTATCAGTGCTGTGTGGTGGTTTAAAAGGCTGGCTCTGAACTCACGGAAACAACCCTCAGTATTTCTGTTCTGTTTTGCCCTGTATTACCTATGCTGTGCTCCCACTTCAAGTGCACCAAATTTCTGCTGGTGTTGTGAGGTCCCAGAATGCTTTGCACTGACGACCTGAGGATAGGGGCAGATCCAGGATCTGACAGAGGGAGGTGCAGGAGCAGCCACCCCTGCTGCATGGGTGGCTGCACCCCAGATCCCAGCCTCCTCCACCCCAGCCCACCAGTCTGGGACGCTCCAGGGACTTTCTTTAAGTCCCCAAAGCAGGTAAGAATCTCCCCTTTCTGCAGGTGCAGACACAGAAAGGGGAACCCCCCCACAATAATCACCTCTGCAGCTGCCACATGGGCCAGGGATAAACCCAGGACATAAAACATTTTCCGGGCTCAGAAGACCTGCACTGAACAAAGCAGAGCCGCATCCTGATAGAGCAGGATGTGCTGGTGAGGAAAAGGAGAGAGCTTCTTTGGTCAGCTTAGCAGGCAGTAAAATGAACCGACCTTTAACTGAGAATGTCTGAGCTGACACAAGCGGGCACCGGGGGCACCCCCGGGCAAGGAAAAGTTTTGTCCCAAAACACCAAGTGGTAAAACCTGATTTACACCTCAGCTTGTAAAGGGGGGAAAGCATCAGCTCTTGTCAGCTGTTGTGGGACAACAGAGACAATACCAAGGTAGAGCTCTTCTACTACGTCTCATGCCTGCAACTGTTGAAAAGCCCAAGGGAAAAAGAGGGCAGTGGCAGTGGGATCTACCGCTCACCGCATCGAGCCAGTCCTGAATGAATGCTCTACCTGGGAGCTAAGAGGGTGCTGAGCTGCTGGGGATGCCACATTTCTAGAAAAGGTGTGAAACTGAAGTCCACCCCAGCTCATCCAGTAGCCCCAGGCCCTGGCCGCAAGACTTGCCGAATTAGTCTGGGTCCTGCCTGGACCCCCTGTCAGTTCATTTCACCGTGGCCCTCCGCATGCACTGTAAATTTAGTTGAACAACTGAGTCTTTCCAAACCTCTGGGTAGCGCTGCACTCATTGTTAGACATCAGCCATGTGCCAAACCCAAGGTGCAACAATTTGTTAATCTTATGGAGCTATTTTTCTGACCGGTTTTTAAGGTGGTTTTTAACAGACATGCCAAGGAGTGCGGGGCAGGGCAGTGAGGGGCTGTTTTACAGATATGCATATGTACATACACGAAAAGGTACTAAACAGCCATTAATAGACTCATTTACACTTGACCCATTGAAGTGATCACCCTCGACTGTGAGGGATCACTGACAACGACTGAACAGGTATTTCGGACAATGGGAGAGATGCACTGGCCACAAGAAAATATCGTATTTACTCGAGCACACGATGACCCTGAGTATAAGACGACCCCCAATAATTAGATTCTGCATATGGAAAATTTATAAATTTGTTAAAATTTTTCAGGTATAGAACCTAATTATTGGAGCTTTGCCTTGAATTTGTCCCCTTCCCACTGCTACAGCAGGGGAAATAAATAAGGTAGCCAGCCGCATTACCTCCCCCAGCTTCTTTCCCCCCTTCCCATCACGAAGCATGAGACCCTGCTCTCCCTGAGCACATGGAAGCGAGAAGCAAATTTGAAAACACTGACCTAGAAATAAACATACCTGCAGTAACTTGCATGCAGGGAAATGTCCCCACGCATATTGCAATAATGTTTGGAAAGAGGCATCAACTCTTTCCTGGATGATGTGCAGCCGTTGCTGAGATGGAAACTCCAAAGTGTAACTCAAAAGTGTACAGCGATCTTGAACAGGCCCGTCTAATTACTGCATTCTCTTCCAGGACCATTAGTGAGAATATTGAGATTATCCCCAACTATGAGACTCCCCACGGGACTAATGTGAATAGTCAATATTTTCAGAAAATATTGGGTGTGGAGGGGCTCTTTTACTTTGGCACCTCTGGCTGCAACAAAGGGATGACATTTTATTAACTAAAGACATACTTGCAGGTGCGGGTCGATCTCAAATATGGTCTCTCCTCTTCGCATATCTGTTATTAGCCAAGGGCCTCCAGCTCTAGAAGAAAGGCAGAGAACCAAATAAGTATGTCCCTTGCACTCGCCAGCTATTCCCCCACCATTACTCAACAGTACAGCCCCCAGAAGGAAGCAGAAGACAGAAAGTTTGTTTTTTAAACAATCAGCTAGAGGCCTCTCTGCCTGGGAAAGCTTATACAGCCCAGAGCATCCAGTCATCCTTTAAGTCCTCAATTACACGCTGAAAGTCCACCGTGACACAAGACCTGGTTGGTGTCCAACACTGCCCAACCTCACAGCGTAAAGGAAAACTTAATTCAGTCTTGTCTACATTGTTAAATCTTGCTGAACTTGTGCAAAAATTCAGGACTATGGCACATTTCAGGAAGACCATTCATATGTGGATGGGGCCATGCAGGCCTGAGTTGCTGTTTATCCTTGTTAGGAGATCCTTGTTAGCCAGGATGAATGTCAGAGGGTAGAGTGAATGATATTTGAAGGTGGTCAAGGTCACGGTCCAAATTTAAGAAGATATTTAGATGCTTAATGATGCAGACAGATATCTAGGGGGATCTTTCCATGCCCAAATTCCTTCATAATACTGGCCTAAGCTCAGCAAAGTGCCACGTTCGGTATCACAATGAAGTTATGAACAGACATGGCATTTGTCCCAGGAGAAGGCCTTTTGTGCTGGGATTGGATAGATACACATGACCACTGGACCATTTCAATCCCTCTGAAGTACGCTGGATAAAAGGTACTAAGTTCTCCCTGGACATCGGTATGGTTACTACGATTCAGCCCAGGCTGCCTGCTCTTGCTGGCCATCTGCCGGTGAAGGAGCAGCAATGCAGCCTGGAAGGGTGATGTGTGTAAATGACTGTGCTAATCCTGATCTGACCCGGGGGCAAACGTTTACAGCTTGACCGTCCTGCTGATGGCTTAGGCCCCTACAACAAGCACTTCCAGCGGTTTGCCTGCGTCAGAGCAGCCTTCGCTTTTGTTAGCTTTGCAAGGTCAACACATTTCCCAGCGGAGGTGATGGGAGGAACCTTACTGCAAAGAGAAACACCGATTTTCACTTGGGATCCTAACAGACACAGGTGGTCCAAGATGGTCTTAGGTCTCTGTTTTTCATTTTACAGAAAAAATTGACCCTGTTCACTGAACTGCCACAGAAACTTTCATTTGCTCATGAGATATTCTGGTTTTCCTGCCCATCATCCCCTTCCTTGCCTGGGATATTCCTTGCGTTATGCTTGCCCCACGTAAGCATTCCAGGCTCAAAGAGTACAAATGAGTATCTTTTTTTTTTTTGTAATAAGCACGGACGATGACTGGCTTAACACACCACCTGGAGTCTGGCAAGGATTACCTGCTAGCTGCAAAACTGTTATTGAGGGCAATTTCTCACTTAAAATACTACAGGCCTCTAACGTGATTCATAATTAGCAGCTTAGTCAATGCAGCTTTGCCTTTGAAACACTTTCCCCTGCTCTTGGAGATGCAGTTGAAAGAAATGCCTGTTCTAGGACAGCTGGCACGAGAGCTCTGCTTCCTTTGTTTTGTCTGAGGCTTTAACAAAGAGAACGAAGCCAGCTCCACGGAGACTTCTGGGAGTCAGAGGCAGCACACAGTGTCTTGGGGTCCCAGGAGAAAGTCTTTATCTCCCCTCTCAGGGGTGTCTTTGAAGACTGTCCATACCTGCTTATAGGGGGAAGGTTCAGGCTGAGATCTATCAGTCTAATTCTGGACTGCTCGTAATACCAGTGAAAATCAAGTACTCTGTGGGGACTGGAGCAGCTGAAGGAATGCAACCTCGAGCCCGGGAGCAGGCATTAAAGCTCTTCATCGTACGACACTTGGATCTCTCATAACACTGCAGTGCCCTTCTCCAGAAATACGACCAAAGAGTTTACATCAAACATTTCCTGTATCCCAGCAAGAAAATAATTTGTAGAGCTGCCACTGGACTGCTAATAGTTTGCAAAGCATTATCATATCATATAGTGCATAAAGCCACCTCTTTCCTGGTCCAACGCTGATTTTGTTTTGGCAAGCAGCAAATTAAGCAGAATTGATTTCATCAGGCAAACAAGTCTTCTTCCTGGCATGAATTAGCCCATCTGCTCTGACTCATTGGATTACTTACCAAGATGCCATCCAAACTTTGCTAGTAACTGAACAAAATCAGCCCTCTCCCTTATTCTGAACTGTTCAGAGCAGAGAGGTCCCCTCAATAACAATTAACCCGGCTGTTTTAGGAAAACCTAATGAGTAAGGCTGTAGGCAGAAAGAGGAAGGAAATTAAATTTTAAGAGCTTGTTCTCTTCCATCCTTGGCGAGTGGATTCTCTCACACAGTAATTTGCCATCGAAGGCCCCATGCATGAGAACGGAGTTGTGCTGAATTCCCATCTCCTGCAAAAACACACGCTTAAATAAGCTTAATCAACGAGCCACTGCTAATCAAAACAAATGACAGCACTGTTGCCTATCAGGAGGCATTTCTGCAAGGCTGCTTGGAGCTGTTGGCATTCAAGGTCAGTGGCACGAGATGCCTGCTAGAGGCGCTGTACTTACACAGGCACAGTCCGGAGAAGCTCCAAGATCCCTTGTCCGTTCCACTGCTGGGCTGCGTGCAGCTCCTCTGTGCAAACCCCGACAATCTGAAACCAGAACAAACGGACCGAACACTGCAACAGGCGTCAATGCACCAAGTGCCAGATGAGCCGGAGGTAGCCGAGACCCTCGTGTATTTAACCACCCCTCCAACACTGAGAGCGGACAGAGGAGCGTGGACTCCGCTGTACAAAGCTTGTCACGTCATTTGGTTTAGTAACAGCATTTAGACGAAAGGACCTGCTGCCATGAAGGAATGCTCTGGCCTTCCTTCAGGTGAGGGAGATTCAGCTTGCTGGCTGGTGAAATCTTGGCTGGCACTGCGCGTGCCACGCGGTGTGTTCCTCGCAGCTGGGAGGCATCTCCCTCCACCAGGGAAGTGGAATACGTTTGCCTCCCAACACAGGAATGGATGTGCTGGGTTACACCAGAGACTGGCCTGACAGCAGCCAGTGTCAGCCACCGTACAAGAGGAAGCGAGATACCCTTTAACGGACCACTAGAATATAACCCCTGCACTAGGGAAGCTGCCGACCCCTGCTAGAGCCCGACTTTGCTCCCTGAAGTAGGCGGCTCTGTGCCCCGCTGGACAGAAAGCGATTTGAGCAGCATTTAGCAGTGCGTGCTCACTTCCTCTGCAAGTGTCCCATCTTTCTGGGATGCCATGGATCTTGGCCAAAGTATCTTGAGCCAGCAAATCCCACAGGCTCACTGTGCTCTGGGCTTTCTTTTATCAAGGGTATATTCAGTGCTTTACAATAAAAAGGGAAAGCTCAGAAGTGCGTTAGGTCATTGTTTCTTAACCCGTGGCTCACAACCCAGAAGCGGGTCACAAGAATATACGAAAGGGTTTCAAACAAACTTTAAAAATGGATTCTTCCTTAAAGGAGAAAAATGTGGGGAACTGTGGGTTTCCCCTTGCAGGCTGGCAGAGCTCCAGCCTGCAAGGGGCTGCTCGGGGCCCCTCAAGTCCCACACACCCACCCCTTGCCCCATACATTGAGGGGCTGGGGCCTGGGGGTGCGAGGGCAGTGTGTCAGGAGTGAAAGGCACTGGATCAGGACTGGCCATCAATGTTTACAAAAGGGTCCCGGCACAAAAAAGTCGAGAAACACTGCATTCGATGAAAATATAGATAGGAAGCACAGCCTGTTCTGCCTTAGCCCTAAGTAAGTAGCAATGCTGATAGCAATCCAAGTCAACAACGAGCACCGCTGGCATGGACAGTACTTTGTGTGCCCCGGCAGAGCAAGCCTGGACAGCAGCGCCCCACGCACATTCCCCCTCCAAATACAGCCTGAACTGGCCCCATGTCCTCCCTCCCACGGCTTCCCCAGGCCTCTCCCTGCTACGAGAGCCAAGCTGCTGTACACCAGTTTATTCCCTACCCGTGCCTCCCTCTGCTTTTGTGACGGTTTATTGCCGTGGATCAAAATGAAACCCTGACAACAACCCGTCATGCAAACAAAGGGAAAACAGGAAAAATATGTTTTCTAGGGAATGAGATGAGAGGACGGGGGCTGTGGAATTAAGGGGCGCTGAGGTACGGCAGCCAGGGCGGAGCCTCTCTTGGTCCCATCCAGGACCCCTCGTTACTAAAAAGACCTGGGACAGATGGGAGGGAGCAAGTCGGAGCCCAGAAGCCTGCACTTCCCCCCACAGCAGAAGCACCTCCCTGCAGCGTGGGAAAGTCGGAGTATCTGATGGATCTGAGCAGCGGCTGGCTTTTGCTGGCACGGCTCAGGGAGGATATCCTGATGCTGGGCAATAGCTGTGCATCTAATTTAAAAAAAAATCAAAACGATCTGTGTTTAAGATGCAAAGGGGCCCAAAGACATGAGAACTGGGACTAGGTCTCAAGGGAGAGGCTTTTAACGGCTCCTTCTGCAAAGGACATAAATGCTTTCCCTAACAGTAGGCTGTTAGATGGAAAACTCAAGTGACCCCTTGGAAGTCCCTGTGCCAAGTCTGCAGACTAAAATCCAACCGCCAAAGCCCTGAACAGAGGGAGACCGGCTCCTGTTCCCAGCTCGACTCCCAAGACAAGTTTCACTAGGGAGCCACCTACCGATGCCTCCGTGGCAGGTCAGATACAATTTCAAGCCCAAGTGCACTTTAAGGAAGTGTATTTCTCAGAAGACTTCTTTTCCCCTGCTGGTTTACCAAAATGCATTTGACAATATACCTATATTGCAGTTTATTCAACTCCCAGCTGCATTTTTGAGAGTCAAACTCCCTTTCTGTTAAACACAAAAAAGCCACACCTGGGAACTGGTGGGGGTGATGACACTCTTAAAGTTAAAAAAAAGAGCAGTGAAGCTCCCGTTCAGTCCCCATCTAAGCTCTCTAGGGTACTGAGTCCATGACAAAACCCTTGGATCAGCAAAGCAGAAGGGAGAGAGGTGGACCAGAATCACTGGAACAGTATTACACAGAAAAATCTGCAAGACTTTGTATTGTTCATCAGGGAAGAACGCATGCATGCATGCGATGCCAGCCTCAGCTCCCAAGGGATGGCAGCTCGACCAGCCACTCCTTTGCCTTACCTGGAGGAAGGTAACAACCCCAAAAGGCGTCTGCACTGGTTGCATCTGTGGATCTTCAGTCAGCAGCATATGCTGGATTCGAGACTCGCTGTTGTCCAAAGGGCTGTGCCATGACACGTGGTCGCCACTACAGAAGGTATTTTCTGCAGGGAAGAAAACCAGAAAGGCATCACTAACTAAAACCACCCGCGGCAGGTCTCTGACGGCTCTGCAGGCATCAACTGTGGAGCAGAAAAGGAATAATCCTGCTGACATGGGGGCATTTGAATTCAAGCACACCTGACATGGAAGGTTTCAGCCACTGGCTGGTGCGGCAAGACCAGCGTGCTCGACTGACACTACCAGCTCCGTGCGAAGGTGCACAGACAGAATTCCCATGTCCGTTTATCACCATCGTTATCGTGGTGACAGCAGACATGGCAATGCGCACGTGGTGCAAAAGGTCAGCTGGCTAAGTTGCGTGGCTGCTGAATGGCAACCAGCAGCCATGCTTTTGGACTCGGATTCAGCATCGCATATTCGTGGCCAATGGCAGAGTGCATCTAAGCCACCTGGAAGAAGAATTCCTCCAGGACTGCACCATCAAACCCTTGCTATACTTAAGATATATCGATGACATCTTCATCATCTGGACTGAAAACCTGCAATCTCCGAGTGATTTCCATCAGAAATTCAACAATCATCACCCCTCTATCAGACTATCTTTTGAATACTCCAGCACCAACATTTTCTTTTTAGACACAATGCTCGCTATCCAGAATGGTAAAATACAGACCACCACATACAAGAAACCCACAGCCCAACATACATAGAACCAGCAATCACCCTAAACACACCAAGAAAGCTGTAATATGAAGCCAAACCCTCCGATATCACCGGATTTGCACTGAGGACAACACCTGGGATCGTCACCTCACAGATCTCAAAGGGGCTTTCACTCAACAAGGACGCTCCTCCAGAGAGGGAGATCGTACTTTTGAAAGAGCCACCTGGATACCATGTGATGAATCGCAGAAAGAAAACCCCCATTAACCGCACACCACTGGTTAGGACATATCATCGCTCCCTGGAGCCTACATAGCCAACCCTCAAACAATTGCAACCCATACTAGAAGAAGACCCAATTCTTGAAGAGATCTTCCCAGACCCACCCATCCTAGCTGTTAGCAAGCACCGAACTTTGCCAACCTCATCACTAGAAGCAAACTACCTACAGCTCAAAGCACACCAAACAGATCCAGACCCCGCCATGACAAATGTAAAACCCGCCAACGTCTCCACCACCCCCACAATTACTACACCCCACAACAGGGCCATCAGCATCCCAGATCTTACACCTGCACCTCCAGAAATGTGATACATCTCAGCCAGCGCACTAAGTGCCCGGATGGAAAATATGTAGGAGAGCCCAAACAATACCTGCGCACCAGGGTGAACGTGCACCGGAAATCTATTAAAGACAAACATAGCCAACTACCCGTGGGGGCACATTTCTCACAAGAAAACCACTCTCTCGCCAATCTCTCGGTTCTGATCCTCAAAGGGAATTTACAAAACACCTTTCATAGACGAGCCTACGAACTTCATTTCATACATCTGCTGGATACAAAAAATAATGGACTAAATATAGATTTATGACACATTACAACCTGCCTGACATCTGACTCCCCAGGAACCTCTCCCCTACTGTCCGCCTCAATTTACATTTTCACTGACTGGCTTTCTCGCACGCATACTGGCCTCTGGCTTCTTTTATATTCCATCCAGGAGGAGCACAGATCAACTGCAGATGCTTCCTCAAAGGGTATTTGTACCCAAAAGCTTGCAAAGAAGCATTTTTCCAACTACTTTAGTTGGTCGAATAAAAGAGACACGGTTCTTTCGGTAAATCCGATATGTTTAAGCTACTCTAGCACCTCCTCTCAAAAGTTCATGGACAGGAACGTGCAAGTTTACTAGAAATGACAAAAGTCATTTTCTTCCACGATTAAGTGTTCAGAGGTGCTGGTGCTACATTATTAGTAGCAGACGTGTGCGCTTCTGTACCCCAAACTGGTGGGGAAGCCTCTAGAAGTTCAACCTATGGGGCATAAACTACGTCAAGATTAGAAGGCAGAAATTCCTCTATTTCTCTCCCTGCCATGAGAGTGGGATACGTTTTTTTTCCTCCTCTGCAGAGACAAGAGTAGGATGGGAAGAAATAAATCACAGGTACCGTATCCAGCCAGTGCTGGAGCTATTCCAGGGAAGTAACACGATGGGACTTGGTTATCCGCAGGTGACATTTTCTCATGAAGCTTGTTGAGTGGAAATATCCTGAAATGGGCCAGAACAACCCAGCTGGGGCATCTTCACCTCAAAGTAAGTGTGGCCTACTGGGCATGGCTCTGGAGCGGTTCTGAGACTTCTGCAAGCCTGAGTATCGAATCCCACAGCATTTCTGATGCTATCCACGAATTCACATTCGAGAAGCCAAATTCCTCCCTTTCGTGCAAATGCTCTGGCACAAAGGGTGGAGAATCTGCTTTCCTCACTACAGCGTAATCCAGACACTTATCCAGCAGGTGTGTGAGGAAGCATTTTTCACTACAAATATTCAAGCGGTGCATGCCGATGGCTACTTTGGGCTTTGAACACTTCTTACAGCCTCAAAGCGTGATTCCCATCACAGCAAGGGCATGCTCTGCTCCGAGCAACGCCTTTATGTACCCCAACTGGTATCAACTTCCCCACCTCACCTCCAACTGTACAACCACCCCTCCCAGGCACTTCCTAATTAAACAGGGATGGAAAAAAATCCATGGATGCATTTTCCAAATTAAAATAATAATAAAAAATGGGTTATTTTATTTTGCTATTTAAATGCTCGCTTTAAAAATAAGCCTATTTGAAATGAAATCTTAACTGAAAACAAATCATGTCATTTTAGTATAATAAGTTGGATGGAGTGTATACTTCTCCGTATAAAGAATCAAGGGGATAATATCTGTTTTGGAGCTTGATCAATGTGGTGCAAGAGGCCAAGCACTGCATTAAGGGTTTGATTCTGGAAGGAACCCAGGAGCTGCGATACTGGATTTAGGAGATTGCAAAAATCTTCACTGGCTTTGGGACCTGGCCTCTGACTCCAGAAGAACAAACAGGTTTTGTACTGTATTGGGAGTAAACTCTAGTTTCATCGTTGCTGTAGTTATCTGACACAAAACACCAATAAACTTGATACCTAGGGAAGAGCAATCAGATCTCAAAATCCACTGCTTCCAATGGAAAAAACTTACCACTCTCTAACACACTGAAATGTAAAGCTAATGACAAACTGGAAGCACTGAGCAGTACAATTGCTTTAACAAATGCATAAGGTGAGAGCATATCTTCATGTAGCAAAAAGAGGCACCAAATCTAGCGTGAAAGCATCATTTAGGGCCACTTCGACGGCTTTATCAACCAACTTTCTTTTGGTCAACCAACCATCTTTTCTTTAGAAAAGAAGCAAAATGGAAATGGAAGAGCTGATTAAAACTGACCATCTCACTCGCTGATGAAGCCCACCTAGATTTAAATCAATCTGCCCTGCTTTTAAATGAGTATTGGCGTGCTGAACCTCACCACCCCGACTTGTTTGAGCATTTGTCTGCTGATTTCTGCGGCACTATTTGCTCGATTTGGACCCCTCCGGCTGAGAAACAGCTGCTTGCCAGTCACTTTGAGCTGGACCAGTGGTTTTCAAGCTGTGATCTGCAGACTGGTTTGCAAAAGACGACTACGATCAATCAAAACGATGTGAATACCCACACTTACAATTCAAAGGGGTCTGTGCCTCCATTCGAATTTTTTTTTTTTTTTTTTTAGGAATCTACAAATTAAAAAAAGTTTGAAAACCACCGACTTAGAAAACCCAAGTGAATCGTTCTGGGCTAGCTTCACGTTGCAAGTCTTAGTCGTGCCACCAGAGGTCCCCACTGGTGCTTCTTTGGAAGTTGAGACCTCCTTCTTCACAGCTGTATTTCTTGGAGAGATCATTTGATTAAAAAAAAAAAAAAGAAATCAAAATAACCTTAAAATACCATGAGCAACTGGCCCCGGGCTTAGGGTGTGGAGCAGGAGTGTTGTGATAAGCAAGGGAAATGTTTTCGTTAGTCCAAACTAGAAAAGGAAAAGAAAAACACAAGCCACCACCTATCAGATAAGAGCAGCTTAAAAATCAGCTAAACGCCTTCTACAGCAAATTACATGCTACTAGCTGTGCAACTCAAGGGAATGAATGAAGTCCGTGGGTTCGCATCCGGCTCCTGCACCCTTCGCAGTTATTGGGAGACCGCACAAAAAGACTGGAAAATAGACGTTTGAGGGGTCGTCCTCCCCCGCCCCCGGGTCAAAATGTAAAGGTTTTTAAAAATCTGCAGCTGAAGTGCAACGGTGTCCACGCTCTCCTGAAAGATCCTCGCGAGGCTTGGGGGGTTGGCCAGGCCGCCTACCTAATTTTCTTAATGATGAAAGCTTCCCGGTCACAGTTTTCAGGAAGGAAACAAAGCCACAAAGAGCTCATTCTTGGGCCCTGTCTTTCTGCCGCGACGTTTTGCACGTCAAATGCTCGCACGATTCTATGCTGATCGATCGCCGCGCTGCGCGGCTGGTCCGACTCCTTCTGGGAAATCCTCGGCCGCTTGGAGCTGGTTTTCAAATGCAAATGTCTCTGCTGGAAACCCACCTGTTTGTCTATTGGAAGGCTGAACACTTCTCAAATCTCTCCCGCTCTCTCACACGCGCATACAAATACCACAAAATTCACACTGACTGCTCAATTAAACCACAAAAAAACCCATGTGCAAACAACACGAAACCCAATTAAAACCTACAAGCGCCAGGAAATTCAGAGTTCAAGGCCTGAAGTTCAGCCCTTAGCTAACTGCATTGTAGTCGACGTGGAATGAGAGCTCAGGCCTCGCTCTGAGACCCCGGCAATACCTAGGAAAGTTTAAGTTACAGGAGTCTCCGTAGTGGGAACCATTAAGTTATGGGAACAAAGGAGGACTAGATCATTTCCATCTACCCCCTCGTGGTGAAATAACTGCTCTGGCTATGCCTCTTCTTCCCAGGCCTCAGCTAGCAACTTCTGAAAAAGTACAGGAACAATGAAAGTCTT